CGCCCGCCAGTCCCCTAGTCCGCAGACTCTCGGTCCGGCCACTGTTCTCCACCTCAAGAACGCTCCGAAAAACAAACCGCTGGTCGCGTAGCTCTCCTACCGCCTGTCACTCACGCTAGCACCCACCAATCACAGGCAGCCACTGGACCTTCGCGCCACCCCCACTCACTTCAACAACCAATGATGAGGGGGAAATCGGCTGCCCCCACCGCCCTCTCCCCACCTCTCTTCCAACACCCTAACTCTCAGCAGCCAGCTAATCATCAACACCACACGATGAATCAGTCCCGCCTACTCTCGCAGGATGCCAATGGGCGAAGCCAAGGCGGTTTCCGAGGGCTGCCGGGAGCCTGCCAATCACCAACACAGCGCTTGGTTCCTCACACTGCTATCCAATCACTGAGAAGGTTCTGAGCATCCACCTCTGAGCATCCCTCGCTGGCGCGCTAGCCCCTCTCCCCGGGAGGTGTCGCTTGCTCCAATCACTGCTCCGGGGTGAGGCTCCGCCCACGTTCCCACCTCCGGTCAGTCCGCGGAGGCTCCGCGGGTTCGCGGGCTGGCGCTGCTTCCCGCCCGCTACTCCAGCGCTTGGGTTTGGAGAAGGCGGCAGCAGGGTCCTGGCGCCTCTCGCCCTCTGGGTTCTCCGCGGACCGCCGCGGTCCAGAGGCTGGCGTCCCGCCCCTCCCGGTACCCAGCAAGGACCCGAAACGGGCGGAGAGTCTGGCTGAGTGCTTCCCGCCTCTGCCGCCCAACCCCCGGGTTAGTCCTCCAGGCCACACGCCTCGCTGGCCGGAGAGGGGCGGCCTCGCCGCTGCCCGTTACGCTCTGGGGCCGCACCCTCGGGTCTGGATATGGTGGAATGCGGGTGCCCACGATTTGAGTTCTACCCGAGGTTCTTTCGAAAAATAACTTCTCTTTGCTAGTTGGTTATAAAAACAACACAAACTGCAAAAACTGAAAACCGGGAAAGTATAACATTTTCTGAGAAGGGAAAGAAAAACAAATTCATCAGTCTTTACTATCTGCCAGGCATGTCATCTCATTTAATCTTTCCAATAACAAAAAATATTGGAATTTAAGTGGAAGTGCAGCTCAGAGGCTAAATTACATGTTCAAGTAGTGGAATTAGGTCTGCCCGGCTCCCAAAGGCACTAGGCCAGGGTTTTTCAACTTTTTTTTTCTTCATTATCCATCCCCGCTAGGAGAAATTTTTAAGTAATTAATTATGTTTATTTTATTTCATTTTGAAGCGCTCGGGTTTGAGACCAATGCCACACGCAGACTAAGCAAGATCTCTACCAATGAACTACTTTCCCAGCCCAAGATTTTAAATTACTTAAATTCTTCCTAACTAGCGTGTGGTGTTGTACACCTGGAATCCTCAGCACCGGAGAGGATGAGGCAGGAGGATCTCCATAAGTTTGAGGCCAGACTGAACTACAAAGCAAAAAACCCTGTCTCAAAAAAAAGGACGTGTGGAAACTACAATATTCACTCTGACTCTTCTTTTCTCCAGGGGAGTGCACTGGGATTCAAATAAGTCGGGGTAGCAGGGATGGTGGTGCACACACCTGCAGTCAGTTACTTATTGGGGAGAGGATGGAGGACTGAGGCAGTAGGATTTCCAGTTTGAGGTCAGCCTGGGCAACTCTTTCAAAAAAGAAAAGAGAAGTCTGGGAGTTGCAGGTTCTTGGGATTTGAAGGTTTATTGACTACTTTGTTTTAAGTTTCAGGAGGAAAAAAAATAACAATGTGGCTGAATTTCCAAGTTGGTTAAAGAAAAAGCTTTCATTATTCCTCTGATTACCCAGGGAGTCTGGCAGCTGCACATATGAGCGCTTCTCTAAAGAATCAAGACTGGACAGAGCCTATCACAAATACTTCTGTACCATCAAAAGGACACTTGAAAGTAAGGCGAAAGTGTCTTCAAGGCCTTCAATAATTTTGCGTTGCTAAGACAATGATCAAAGATAAGGCAAAGCAAACCAGTTCCAGACTCCAATTCCACTGATAGTAAAGTACACCAGGCTCCTGCACAACCAGACCCTGTCTCCCTAGTTTGACAATGTGAGTAGCTTTTTATAAAGTATTTCACCTGGTAAGAGTAATACATGATTATAGAAAATAAAACTCAATAACATCACCATTCTGAGATAACCAGTTTTAATATTTTAGTACATTTCCTTCTAGCCTTGTAAAATTTTCAATTATATATATGTCATGTTATATGAATCTCTCAAAATTTCAGTATTTATTTTCACTTAATACTACTATATTGTAATCATTTTCTGACATAAATTTTTTTATTTTTTTGGTACCAGGGATCAAACTTGGGTCCTTGCGCTTGCAAGGCAGGCAGTGGAACCACTGAGCTAAATCCCCAGGCCCATAAATATTTTTTGGGGGGGTACCGAGGATCGAACTCAGGACCTTCCACTTCTGCTTGTGAGGCAGGTGGCGGAACCACTGAGCTAAATTCCCGGCCCTCATAAAACATTTTTTGAAAAATAACCTGTTTTGTCTGGCACGAGGGATCAAACCTATCCTAGATAAGCACTTTACCACTGAGCTATAATCCAGACGTTTTAAATTTTATTTTGAAACAGGGTCTAAATTGCCAGGCTGGCCTTAAACTGGCCTTAAGTTTAAGTTGCTGGTATTGGTTTTTTTTTTCCTCATTGAGTTTATTGGCACATTTTAGGTACACAGTACAGTTACATTCATCATTGGGATCTTGTACCTTTACATGACAGGTCTTGGTTCTCATTTTTTCCTCTTGTCCCTGCCCTCCATTCACCCATCCTCCCCTTCCCCTTTACAAACACTTCATTTCCATTTTTTCATTTTCTTGTATTTCTTCCCCTTATTAGCTTTCCCCTACCTTCTGGGATTGACAGAAAAAAAATAAGCTTTAGTGGCAACATAATACCTCATCATATGTATGTTGAACATGTCTACTTAACCAGCTCAAGGTCTCTTTACTGGGTCTAGAGACAGTCTAACAGGTTGAAGCAGGGGTTCCTTTCTGCCTGACCTAGTTAACTGCAGGCGACAGCAGGGTACCACACCACTAAGGGTTAGTGCAGAGTCATCTTTACAGGGCTGTTACCTGCGGTACAGAAAAATGGATGCCAGGCATGGTGGTGCACGCTTATAATCCTTGAACCCCCGGATGCTGAGGCCGAGAGTTCGAGGCCTACATGAATTAAATGAGATCTTCCTCTCACTTAAAAAAAAAAAAAGTCTGAGGACGAGGGATTTAACTCAGTGGCACCGTGCCTGCCTCGCAGAGCACAAGATCCTGAGTTTGATCCCTGGTACCAAAAAAAAAAAAAAAAAAACAAAGAAAAAAAAAGAAAAAAGAAAAAAAGATTAAGCCCCACCCCAAATGGTTATGTAAATATCTACATTAATAAATTCTATTAGAGGATTCCTAGTAACATCTAGTAACATAAGTAACCGATTTCCCTTTAAAATTAGGATTCTTTAACCAGCAGAGTATGGTGGTACATGCCTGTAATCTCAGCACTGGGAAAGCTGAAGCAGGAGGATCACTGAATGTTCCAGGGCAGCCTGGGCTACACAGTGACCCTATATCCAAAAAAAAAAAAAAAGGTTCTTTAATACACATTTCTGAAATCAGACATGATTGGATTCCTCCAAATTAATTTATATTAAATATTTCTAAAACAAAGCTATTTTATAAACTTTCTATAAATATAAAATCTAGTATTAAATATGTCTTCACCTGCTTGGTATGAAATCATTCTGGCATAAAATACTTGGCCTGGCTATGTAATAGGTTTGTTGGGAAAATCAACATATAAAAGTATATTCTAAATTATGAAGTAGCAAATAAACAAAGTTGCCTATTTCAGTGATGTGCTATTGATATTTGGATGAATTATCTTCTACAAAAACTGAAGAATCCTAGGTGATAGTATGATTATGAAATGAAGTAAAAGGGCATATGCTTTGGCATGATCTTGGACTATTTTTTTATTTTCTTTCTCTCAGCCCTTGCTCATCATTGGTTGAAGTCACTGTGAAATTAGTCATCTGTTTTTCCTAGAAGCTAAAGTTGTCATTTATAGTCAATTTGGTTTTAGTTCTTTTCCAACTTTATTTATCTGTGGCTCCTTTTGGAAAATGACTCTTAGTTCAGAAATGGCTTACAACTTACAAGTGGATAACAGGGACCCAAAAGCCACTCCTGGCCAACTGCTTGATGGGGACAGGTGGTTGACCCTAGTGGCCTTTCTGAAGCAGGAAGTGACAAGTAGGAGCAAAATGCACCAAGGGACTGGCTTCTGACTCAGCCCGTCTCACTTCCTTCTGTCCCTTATTCCTCCTCAGTTCCCAGTGTTCCATCAATTGGCATCAAGGATGAAAAGAGGCTAGGGCTAGAAGTTCTGGGTCCTTGTGGCTCTCAAACCTAGCTGGGTGCAGCCTTTCTGGAGAGGAGTCTAATCTCCTGAACAACCTCAGGACACAATGGTAGCACACTGTCCTAGCATAGCCCCCATAAAAACAGCCCTGCATCTTCCCTCTGAGGTCCCACCTCTTAGAGCAGAATGAAACATAGGGTCAACTGAGCAGTCTGTGCTCTACATAAGTAGAGTTCCTGGTACGGGGTCAGTATTTGAGAAATAGGAATTTCATGAATATCTGTTATGTGAATGAATGACAACTAAACCGGCAATGGGTCACAGAATGCTTGGATCCAGCCACTATCAAAAATAAATGAAAATGGGGCAGGGGATTTAGCTCAGAGGTTCCGCCGCCTGCTTCGCAAGCACAAGGACTTGAGTTTGATCCCCGGTACCCCTCCCCAAAAAAGAATAAAGAAATAAATGACAGTCCTAGGATTGGAATACAGAACTAAGCTCAGGGACCTGGAAATTAAGTCTAGAGGTCCCAACAACCAGGCTCAAACTCAGGACAACTCAAGAGGCATACAAAACCAATATAGAAACCAGGATCAACCATTGTTACTATTAAAGAGCAGTTTCTAGCCAGGCTTGGTAGGTAGCTCATGCCTGTAATCTCAGCATTGGGAGACTGAGGCAGAAGGATCACCATGAGTTTGAGGCTAGCCTGGGCTACATAGTGAGTTCAAGGCCAGCCTGAACTACATAACAAGACCCTGTTTTGAAAAAAATAAAGCAAGTAAAGAGCAGTTTCTAGTACATAGTACCTCGGGGTACTTAAAATCCCACAAGGGCCAACTACCTGAGGTCAGAGTCACCCCAACTGGCTGGTCCCACCATGCATCCAGGAGGGCTGAGATACCAGCAGAGCTGACAAAGCAGCCACACAGAAGTATGGGATTCCCTTGGCCTCAAGGCCACAAATCCTGGCCTTAGGACTAATCTGCTACATTTCCCACCTGCTTCCCTCTCAGAGATTGTAGGAGCCTGTGCTCCAGGACCGGCTGACACTTGCCCAGGAAGGGGCCAAGGGCACATGCAGACTGGTTACTCAATGTTGTCATAGACATGAATCACATCTTCATAGTTGACAAGAGCCTGGATGAGATGAGCAGCCTGCTTGAGGTCAGGGTCAGCCAGCTGCACTGTTGAGTGGGGGATGAACTCCAGGGTACAGGATACAGAACACAAGCCCAAGGAGTCTAGCTTCTTCCTCACTTGATGCAGTGAAGAGACATCACAAATAAACTAGAGAGAAAGGAAAGTCAGGAGGTGAGGAGCTAGGAGGTAATAAGACAGCCAGACAGAACTTCGCAGTCTTAAATGGAACCACTGTTTTGCAATGAATCACTGTTTTCAAGGTTCTGAATCCTCATCATCCTCAGTAGGGCAGGTCCTATCCAATATTCACTTAGAAACTCTGTAACATGTGAAGGGTCTGCCTTACCTATAACCTGGGGCGCAGAAAGGAGGAAACTAAGAGGCATGCCTTAAAGCATCTATTAAAGCCCTCTCAAGGGCCCAAGAAACACAAAATCTTCCTACTCACTTTAAAAAAGTTCCTTTCTTCATCTTCAGCTTCCTTGACATCTTGAGCTCCTGCTTCAATTGCCAGCTCCAGGGCATGCTCCAGGTTCACAGGTTTCTTCTCTCTGTCCTCCACTGCAGTGGTAACTACCCCCTTTTTGTCAAAGGAGTGGCGTGCTCCTTCAGTCATCATTCCTCTGACAGGAGAGGAAAGGGAACGGAGTGTGTGAATGCTTTTAGTCCCTCAGCCCCCAAGGCGCAGCATGCTAATGTTATCTCTTCCCCCTCAGCATCAGAAGGACACACAGACTAGGAGCCAATGCCTCCCTGAAGGAGAAGGTATAGCTGCCACTGGGAAAATAGAGGGATCATCCTCACCCTCTATTTTCTGCCCTGATGGGAGTCTGGAGGATTCTGTACCATTAAGACTCCAGTCCCGGTGCAATATTTTAACACCTGGGCACTATATGGCTTCGTATGGGATAATCAGACAAATGTCCTGTCTATACCTGATAAACACGCCTTTTAGATCCTGCCTAGTAAAGGAAATCAGCAATGCCACTGGATTCTGTTAAGGAAGAAGTGTGCTTAAAGACCACCAGGTATTTGCCTCGCATAGAACTGAAGCCTAAAGGCTCCGTGCCCTTCCTCCCTCCACTCCCTCCAACACATACTTACCCATTCTTGTTCAGGATGTGTCTAATATCTGACTGGCACTTGAAGCCACTATTAGATAATGCCTCAATGAGCAGAGAAGAGCCACCAGGGCCTCGACCCCCATACAGCAAATAAATATCCTTAGTTTTCTGCAATAAGCAACATAAACATTTTCTTGTTTTCCAATTCGCTCTCACATGCCAGCACCATACCACAGGCACCACAAAGTTGACTCCACGGGATGGGCTCTTTAGGCAGGATTCTGGGCTCTCAAGTCCTTTTGTGCCACTCTCTGAGGGATCAACTTTTTAGGTAACCAGAAGTACTATCCCTTCTTGGGAAGTCTGTTTCCCTCATCCCTCAATAATGAGCCTTCTCCCTGCTTTGCTCCCTTCCAATCTCCATCAATTCCCTAGTCAGTGCTTCCACGATTAACCCATCTGTACCCCATTCTACACACGATCCACCTGTAACGTCTCAGCGCTCCTGCCTCGGCTTTTGCTGAAAACTGCCACAGAAAAATCAGACACCTGGGCCCCGGCATGAGTGTCTCTGCAAACAGCATGACCTCAAAATTCAAACAGCAAAAACCTCTAGTGACCAGTTTCATCTGACTCCCAGGCCTCTATTTATCCTTTGTCCATGCACCCGATCTCCAGACTCTCTCCAAGTACCCTTTCCTGAATCTTTTTCAAGAGTTCTCAACTGACGACTTATCTTCTCTCCCACAAAGGAAATACAGGGCCACTGGGTGGGGAAAAATCCTGTCTGCACCATGGCTTAGACGAAGAAAATATGTCTACTGGTTAGAGTATGGGCTCTGGAGTCGGTTGTCTGGTTTCAAGTCTGTCATTTTCTGTGTAACCCAAGTCAAGTCACCTAACTTTTCTGTGGCTCAGTTTGTACTTAACATCATTTTAAGGATTTGGTCAGATAATGCATACAGATTTCTCATCAACATACTTGGCCTGAAACAAGCACTCAATAACTACTAGCTATTAAAGTGATTATTAGCCAGGTATGGTGGCACATTCCTGTAATCCCAGCTACCTGGGAAGCTGAGGCAGAGGACCGTGAACTCCATGCTAGCTGGGGAACTTAGCGAGACCCTGTCTCAAATCACTAATAAAAAACTTTTTTAAAGGCTGGGGAGGGTGAGGAGGAGGGTGAGGAAGAGGAAGCAGGAGAGGAGGGGGAAGGAGGAGGGGGGGAGGGGAAGAAAAGCTGTCTCCCCACCAGAGCTCAACATCCCTGCCCCTCCCACCGTCACTATCATTCCCACCCTTTCCCATTCCACCAGCTTTTCTTCTTTACAGCATAAACATCTGCAAAACAAACCCTTCTTCAACCTAACAACGCTTTTCTCCCAACTCATTTTTTTTTTTTTGGTACCGGGGATTGAACTCAGGTCCTTGCACTTGCAAGGCAGGCCACCGAACCGCTGAGCTAAATCCCCGGCCCCTCCTAACTCATCTTTTGATCACATCTCTTAGCCCAGCAGTCTTAGTTGTGTATCTCTGTACACTGTCTACCTATCCTATTCCCAACTGTGCCTCTCCAAACAACGGCAGGACAGAAAACCTCTAGAGGCCTGTGGACCAGGTAGTGAACATGTCTACTCTTTCTCTGCTAATTTAAGGAGTATTTAGTGGCCTTCCAAACGTGAACAGTGTTGGGGCTGTAATAAATAACAAGAATGTTAAACTGAGCACACACCTCAGTTTTCAGTGCTGCCTCAATCGTTGACTTGGGCATGTGCTTGCTGCGACACACTTCTAAGATGTTATACAAGTTGCTGTTGAACTCAGGGTTGGGGCCTCCCTCTGAGATAAAGAGAAAAGAGTGAGCAAAGATCTACTTACAAAAAAGGAGGAAAAGGGGATTTCCAGCCAATTCCCCACTCCCTCTAGCCAAAACAATAGCAAGCTACCATTTAGTTCACTGTTGAAACACTACCCAGTGTTTGAATGGGATACACAGAAGCATCTTGGAAAGTTTTCTAACTCATATTGCTTTTAGGATAGTTACGGTTCTGCTGGGTTTCTGTGAACTTCTTTTCATCAGATGAAGAGGCAAGAGAGATAGTAACAGTATCTCTTGAATGCATTAATACCCCCTTGTTTTCTTGTTGTTGCTCTGTTACTTTGGGCATAATTATTGAAATGCTCACATGACATTCATGCTGTCTCTGACAGTAGAGTTGTTATCTCATAATCTTTGATTTACCAGGGCCTGGCATGAAATAAAGACTCAATAGTGTTTGTCAAACTTAATATCAAGAATTCCTGCCAGGTGTAGGCACATGCCTGTAATCCCAGTACTTGGGAGACATAGTCAGGAGTATCACCACTAGTTGGAGGAAAGCCCCGACTACATAGCGAAATCCTGTATCAAAAAACCAAAACCAAAACAAAATTCTTAGCATGTGCAAGGCCCTGGGTTTGATTTTAAAAAGAAACTGGGCTCAGGGGCGCACACTTACAATCCTAGCACTTAGAGACGCTGAGGCAAGGAGGATCATAAGTTTGAATCTCATCTGGCAACTTAAAGAAACCCAACTAAAAAACAAAGAGGGCTGGGGATGTAGCTCAGTGTCAGAGTGTTCCTAGGTTCAAGTCACAGTTCAAGAAGAAGAAGCAGGGCTGGGGATATAGCTCAGTGGCACCACACCTGTCTGGCAAGTGCAAGGTCCTGAGTTTGATCCCATCAATAAGAAGCAGCAACAGCAAAGAGGACTGACTATCAGGCATGAGTTGTAGGGGCAAATTAGCATTAAATGAATGCCTATTATGTATACCCCAAGCTACCTGGCATTTTTTCTGTTCTGGAGAAAAGGGAACAAATTCATCAAAGTTAAGCCACTTGCTCAAGATCATAGACGGATCAGTGATAAAACCCAAAATCCTGACTCCAAAGTCCATACACATCCCCCTCCTCAGTTTCAGGCGGTGCTGGGAATCAAACCCCAGGACTCGTGCATGCATCCTCAGCCCCTTCGTCTATGCTTTTTACAGGACTTTTCCCCTATTTCTAGGGGTGTCCAACACTAAAAAGAAAACAGACCATATTAGAGTGGCTTGCAACTGGTTGCAAACCTACCTTTCAAGAAAATGTGCCTCAGGAAATCCTAATGATGACAACTGAGGCCTCAGCAAGTAATAATTTTATTCAGTGTCCCTGCTACAACCCACTACTACCCCGGCTACTACAGGCAACTGCGAAGAGCCTGGTTTGTCTCTTCAGGAGAGGCACACATCCGACTTGACTCTTAGGCTGTTTCTATGGAGCCTGAAGCACCTAGACACACACTGGAAGTCATTTTTACCTCTTCTCTTCCAAGGGCTAGTTCCCTCTCTGACAAGAAGAGTTGTCTGGAAAAGCGAGTAGGACATCCAATTTAGGCAGCCGTTTTGAAATGGGCAACGAAAACAATTGGGGAAGGAAAAGAAACGAAAGGTCAAGGGTCGGGTGGGCCACGGCCCAGCTCGGGGAGGCAAGCGAGGCCATAAGCACGGGGAGGGCATCGGCGGCCAGCTCTGACGGACCAACAGGTTCTCACCTTTAACGGCCAGGCGGATACTGAGACTAAGTTTAGAGAAAATGCGACTCCTTTCGGCGTCCTTGGGGCCCTTGATGTGTCGGACTTTGGACCACTTATTGTGCCCGGCGGGGGCCTCCGCGGTGAGATGCAGCGTCCTGCCCGGAGCGCAGCCGCAGCCCGGGATCTCAAGCTGGGAGACGCGTGGAGTCGCGGCGC